ACTTGAAATAATAAATGATGATCATGAAATAAAACATAATCAACATCTCGATGAACCATCACTTTATCCACATGAAATAAAAAAAGCCTTCGATGGTTTAAAATGTATTGCAACACATATGAGACAAGAAGATGAAGAAAAAAAAGTATTAAAAAAATAATATTTAAAGCAAAAACTAAAATCCTTTTTTTCTTTAAGGTTAAAGAAGAATGGAAATATGTTGCCTTAGTTATTGATCGTCTTTTTCTTTATATATTTACAACAGCTTGTGTTGCTGGTACATGTGGAATTATTCTACAAGGTATTTTGAAGAGTTTTTGTTTTTCTTATATAATAATTAAAATTCATTTTTCTTTTTTAGCACCATCAATTTATGACAATCGAAAACCAATTGATGTTATTAAATCTAATCGTTTTTAATTGAATATATATATTTTATTTGATAGAGAGAAAAAAACAAAAAAGACATTTTATGTTGAATTAATCAATATAAATTTTTTTTTAATTGAACTTTTAAATGTTTGAAACCAATTTGAAAGCCATTCATTTGTTTGATGGCTTGATTAGCAGAATAGATATTATCATAGGAAATAAAACCAAAACATTTACTTCGTTTTGTTACTTTATCAATAAAGACCTTTTTTTTTGTCAAAAGAAAAATATTAAAATGACTTTTTTTGTTGAAATAATTCGAATTATTACTTTAGCGGATAGAATATTTCCAAATGGTGAAAATGTTTGTGCTAAATCATGATCAGTAAATTCAGATGGAAGATGATAGATGAAACTTTATAAACAAAAAACATTTTTCTATCAATAAATGTTCTGCATATACATACAGATTAGATCCTAATGGTCCAATTATTTGCTTTTCATCGTTTATATTTATTAATTGAGAATTATTGTTATTTTGTTGTTTAGTTAATAATGGAGAATTATTATATTTAGGAGATGAAAGGTTATGAATATTTAATGTTCTATTTGTAGTTGATGACAGGAAGTCATCTAATCGATGAAGATGATCATCATCTGTTACATTAGGCCATGTATATGAATTTATTTCATTATTGACAAAGAGATTAGTCAGTGTTGACAGGTTATCTAGAAGAACATTAGAGATGATACATAACAGAAATCATATCGAATTAGATTTGATTTGTTAAAAATAGGACAAAAGACATGTATTTTAGATAATCAGTGTTGTCATAATGAAAAATGATGTAATTTACAACTAATAAAAATAAACAATTTTAAGAGATGTACCTTTATTATTAATTATATGTTGTTGTTTTGTATTTTGATCTTCATCATATAATAAAGATGTATTTATATTCATTCTATTAACTGGAGAAATTCGATCATTTAATTTACGAGAATTATTTTCTATAGTTCCGACATCTTGCCACTATATTTGTTTTTGAAAAAAGAGTTAGTTTGTTTTCATTAAAAAAATACCTCAGTTTTTGATGCAAAGATATTAGAAAGTGAAAATATATTATTTGTATTACTATCTCCACAAGATAGATCATTGGAAGAAAGTTGATTAAAGAGCATTAAATTAAAAGAATTTAAGTTTTCATTTGTTTTATTTGTTGTTATCTGTTGACGAAGATTTTCATTAAATTTTTGTTGTATTTTTCTAACTTCTTTATCTTTTGATGTATCAGCAAAACGAACATTTAATGATGATGAACAACCATCCATTGTACATGAATGATGCATAGTTTTTATAGCATTGAAAGCTGATTGTCGTTTTTGATAAGTTATAAATGCACAACCACGTGAACGATTATTTAAATCACGAAGTACTAAAATAGAAAAAACATGGAGAAAAGAATTTTTCTCAATATAATTACTAACCAGTACATTCTTCAATTGTACCAAATGGTAAAAATAATTGTTTAATATCATCTTCATTACATGATTTTGATATCATACCAATGAAAATTTTTCTTTCATTACGATTTTCTGTATCAGCTGGTTTCATTTGTATAGCATGATGCATACCAGGTAAAATCATTAAATTATGTAAAGCATTTTGAGCATTGAGTGCAGCTTGACGTGTATAATAAGTTATGAAACAACAACCTTTCGATTCACCAGTTTGTTTATCACGTAAAATATTTAGTTTGTATATTCGTCCATAATGTTCAAATAGAATACGTAATTCATTCTCTAACATCGTCCGTGGTATTTGACCACAAAACATTTCAATAGCATCAGAATCAGGTTCACCAATTAATGATTGATAGGGTAATGGGACATCTAAATTAAAATACTTAGTTTGACTTTTTCATAGAGATAATATATTTCATTACCAAGCATGATAAATTAGAGAGATTGAAATTTAGTCGAATAGAAACAATAAAACATAGAAGAGTAGCACACTGAGCTACTGAAATAATAAATCTGTTTTACACAACGAAAGGAAGAAGAAGAAGATATATATATGAGCGCCGAATTTTTACTATAAAGATTTAATATTTATGTATATAGATACATAGATTTTTGATCTACTTGAAATAAAGATTATACCACCTGTGCAAGTGATGAGTCAAGAAAAGAAGTTATTATCAATAGTTAAAGTTTTTTGTCTTCGACATTTTATTTCCATTCTGATTTTTCTCTTCACTCTTAGTTCTTTTTTTTTTTAAAAACACCAAAAATTTCTATTGAATAGTACATAACGTAATAAACAACAAAATGAACATATAATAAGAAAAAAAAAAAGTTCATGATAAAATTATATTTTATTTGAATACAACTAATGACATCATAGCAGCAAGGCATTGAACAATATTAGATGTCATTAATGCATCGACATTTTCTTCTAAATGTCGTTTTGGATCTTGTTTACCAACATTTCTTATAGCTAATTGTTCCGGTGTCATTTTTTCTTCTTCTTCCAATGATTTTATATAATTTTTCGATAAATCAAGCATTTGTTTAACAACACTTGCATTTTGTTCACTATGTTGATTAAAATCTTGTATTGTTAAACCATCCATCCATGATTTTTTATGTAAATTTAATAACATTTT